CTAAGAGATTGTGAGAAAATTCTTTGTATCTCTTAATTGTTTTCCCTTTCTGTGTATAATTTCTTTTCATTCTGTCTCTGTCTCTTCTCTACTTTATCCTTACCCCCTTACTGTATTGTTTTCCTTTGGTTTGTGTTAATATTTGCCTAACCCTTCTCCAAGGATCCTATTTGCTCTAAGAGATGGAATCTTTTGTTGTTGTTGTTTACTTGTTTGTTTTGATACTACCATGCATTTTTATTTTTTATTAATTTTTTTATTTATATATGACAGCAGAATGCATTACAATTCTTACTCCACACATAGAGCACAATTTTTCATATCTCTGGTTGTATACAAAGTATATGCACACCAATTCATGTCTTTATACATGTATTTTGGATAATAATGTTCATCACACTCCACCATCATTTCTAACCCCATGCCCTCTTCCTTCCCCTCCCACCCTGCCCTACCTAGATGGCATTTGCAGGTAAATGGATTTAGTTAGAGAAGATAATGCTAAGTGAAGTTAACCAATCCCCCCAAAACAAATGCCAAATGTTTTCTCTGATATAAGGAGGCTGATTCATAGTGGGGTAGGGAGGAGGAGCATGGGAGGAATAGAAGAACTCTAGATAAGAGATGAGATCTTGACTCTCTTTTCAATCTGAGGTTGGTTGGATTTCTCCTCTGAACTACAGTTTGAGGCCATTGTGCTACATTCTCCCTACTCTTCAGTACCCACAGAGAGACTGGAGAGAGAAAGGGAGATTAACTGAGGGGAAGGGCAATCTTCATTAGAATTCTAGGGCTCTGCTCTTTCTTTTCAGATTCTGTTGAATGCCTCTCTCCAGAACCCACCCACCTCAGTGGAGGCATAGCCATTCCCATGGGGGATTCTCTTGGGCTTCTTATCATTTTCCCATCATAGCCCCAAAGTTTCCACCTCTTTTGAGGTGCAAACCCGTTTCCTATTCTCAACAAGCATTATTTCCACTATTCTGGTTGGAAGAAGAAAAGGAGTGGCATTTTTTCATTTGGCTTGTTTCTTTCCAGATTTTGAAAGATAAATTTTAAGCCTCAAGATTCTGTTGACTCACCAGTAAGGAATTGATGGATCTGAGCTCTGCTGCCTGTCTGCTTCACTCCAAAATTCTTATTTTCTCTTGGCTCCAGGTTTTGAAGTTGATTGCATTGTGTTTAATATGCCACTGAGGTTCCTGCTAGTAATGGGGAGGAGGCTGTTTTTTCAAATTTCAAATTCTGTAGGAACTATGCGGGGGTCAATACCAGTGCAACCTTAATGAAACTGAATAATGTTTCTTCACATGGTCTGCTTGACCACTGGTAACCCAAGACCAAGACATTTCATTCTGCCATTGGTCAAAGGCTGATATGACAATATAATGTCACAGCAGCCAACTGTGACATATCCTTGAAGTACCAGCATGCCCTTGAAGTGTCCCTCACATATATTCTGTTGTTTGGGGAAGGAGAGATTACTTTAACCCTTTCCATCTGTTACTTAAGATTTATCTCGTTCAGTATCTGAGCTCCTTAGAAATCAATGTTCTAATTAGAAAACAGTAGCTAATCTGGGCAAATGCTAATAAATGAGAGTTGTGATTTGTCTAGCAACAGGAGAAGCACTCAGCATTAACAATTAAAATATCTATAGAGAAGAGAGTTTTTTTTTTCTTACTCTTCCCCTTAGCTGATCCAGTTCAGCCTTATGCTATAAATAGCTCTTATAATTTATGGCTATCTATTTGAAAATCAGTCCACAGTTTAGGAACTTTTACCTCTGGAATGCATAGATCCTATTCTGTTTCTCAATGAAAAGGGAACAGTAATGTGAGTTTAAATCTGGAGCTGCCTGCCCACAAAGACCAGACTACATTATAGTCTACCAACACTCTCCTGAGCTTCACTATCATACATACAGATATTTTAGTAATTGGTTCATCTGCAAGAAGAATTACTGTTGGTGAATAGAGACAAAATGATGGGCTAAAAACCCTTCTGAACCTCAGTCATTTCAGGGATCCACAGGCTAATGTCAAAGTTCACATCAAAGGCATGAATTTAGAACTGGCTGAACAGGTCTTTCAAAAACCACTAAAGAATATTTTTTCTACATTGAATACATTAACTGGGTAGTTACCAAAACACTTCTTCACCCAACTGATGCCTGACCTGTCTGGATGGAGGGGAAAATAGTATGTTTAAATGGAATGGAATAGAGTTTTTCTAGATTGCACTCTGCAAAAGGACCCTCCTTGGGAAAAGTCACTTGGTGCTAGAGTAAACCTCACATTTTAATGGAGGGTGTGTTCTTCACAGAAGAAGATGCTTGCACATCTAAGTGTTTTCTGTTAGTGTTTTCTATTCCATCCTATATTGTTTACTTACAAGATACCCATACAGGGGTCCCTGAATCTGACATATTGTTTTAGGACTCCAAGTGCTGTTTGAACTCTTTCCACTATGTTATGTGGATGACCTTTTCTGATCAGCTCACAATATCATCTCCTCTACTAAACCCCTAACATCCTCACCCTTCCAACCAGCTGATTACTCCCTCCTTTGAGTTCCACTCTCCTATATGTTTTTCAATCTAAATACCAGTAATCTTTACTTCCTTTCTTTTGGGGGGAGTGAGGATGTAGCCAGAGATTGAACTCAGAGGCACTTGACCACTGAACCATATCCCCAGCCCTATTTTGTATTTTATTTAGAGACAAGATCTCCCTGAGTTGCTCAGCACCTCTCTTTTGCTGAGGTTGGTTTTGAACCCATGATCCTCCTGTCTCAACCTTCCAGGCCGCTGGGATTACAGGTGTGCACCATTGCACCCAGCAGTGATCTTTATTTTCATTTGATTGGTTTCTTGTGCATCTCTTCCAGGGACCTGGTTTTATTTATTTTCAGTGTACAATGCCTACATGCTTGTTGAATATACAAGAGATTACTGAACTACTTTGAAGCACTAACTCTTTGCTAATATTTGTTGGAATTCAGAAGGACATAGATTTTATCTTTGTTCTCCATGAACTCAGGAGCCAGCGAGGAAGACAGATTCCTCTCCCACTAATGCATCAAGCCAAGGGGAAAGGTCTGGGTAGGTGCTGAGGCTGTGCTCTTAGTTGGTGAGGCAGCAAATACATAAAAACTCACCATATTTCAATATTTCATGTATGACTTTCATAATCCAAATGCACAATATTCAAATCATATTTTGCATTATTTACTAAAATATTTTCAGCATAATCCAGACCTATGCTTCTCAAACTGCTGTACACACAAACCCCCAGAGGATCCTGTTAAAATGCAGATTCTTTCTTGTTCAATAGGTTTGTTCAGAGAGAATCTACAGTTTCTACTGAGCTCCCATGGAATGCCAAAACTGCTGGTCCACAGACCACACTTTGAGTAGCCAGGCTTTAAACAACATCATGTCTGTCAATTATAAAAATTGTTGAAGTAGCACCCATTTTTAGAAAAACTCCCTCTGTTACACCTAGACTCTTCTGACTATAATCAAATGTGATGAAAGTTACTTCAAAATAGGTAGATTCAGCAGAGCCCAGAAATTCTGGCAGGTTGCCTCACAACTGATACTTCCCGGCTTTCTTTAGTTTTATTGGATAAACACAAAAGGTCTTTGCTCATGCACTTGAGGTCTGCTGTTACTAAATGATTACAGTCTGAATGTGTTGCAGAATTTTCTGTATATTCCATCTTGCCACTCTCTGCATAAATGTCCTCCATATCAAAAACATAACATCCCAGAAATTCCTTTTAACAAAACTATAAAGCTTAAACCACTTTAGATAATCGTTAGGAAAATGTTTCTTTAATAAATAAAAAATCTTTATAAGTCACTTATGGGAATCTATTTTCCTATTAACCCACCATGGTTCTTGTGGTAATGAAGTGGCACACCTTTATCCACAGAAAAGCCCTCTTCACCACGGCTGATTTTAGGACTGTCAGCAAAAGAGTCTCTACAAAAGAGTCCAATGTAGATAAACTTCCTATTTTCATGTCACCCTGTTTACTTGGCCACTGGCCGAGAAGATACCAGCACTCCAGGTGCTGGACACCCCCTTACTAGTTATCACAAACGCATCCAGTATAGTACTTTGAAGAAATGTGCAAATAAGGCCTCTGGCCTTGAGCTGGGCTTCACAGAGATGTCTACATTTTTAAGATAAGTTACAAATGGGCCATGGTAACAGCTGGCAGGGGGAGGAAAGAAAGGGGAGAAGCAGCTCTCCCCTTCTCAAGTGCTGTCCTTGAAGAGTTAACTTGCCCAGAACAGTGAAAGAAAAAGCTGCTTTTATGTGAACTTCTGCAGACTATGAACTTCTGAGCCCCTCCCCTTACATGCTGGGTATAAAACTCTGAAACTTCCTGAACTCGGGGTTCAGTGGATTGATTGATTACAGCAAAGGCTGTACCCTCTGAACCTGGCTGCAGCCAAATAAAACTGTTTCCTGCTATCTTCGGTGCCTGGCCTCGTTTGTCTCTACAACAGTAACATCTGTTAACTTTTTCAATTCTTTACTGCTCATCATAGAAGTAGAAGCCCATTAGAACACTGATTTATCTTTCATCAGTTTTGAGTTCTTCTTCCACCAACACAACATCCCTTTGAGTATTTTTCTTTTGCAGATCTTCTTTCTCTGGTCAATCTCAGCACTATTCTAGAACAAATCACGTTCCCTAGGTATAAATTCTCCAAATCATAGGTAGAGAACTCTTCCTATCTGCCCTTCAGCCTTACTCTGCTATAATATTGTGCTATTTAAGAGAGAGTCTTGGTTATTTGGTCTCCTCTTTGCATACTTAGTTTTTCCCGGCAACATAATGGTGAATTGAAGAAAAGTGGAACTGTTTGCATCACACAGGACATATGGAAGGCACCAGAAACTTTAGATTGCCCAGTGCCATAGTGTAGAGGGGACTCATCAAAATGACCTTTCTTTCTTTTTATCTCTCCTTGCCTCTTTTAGATTAATGCCAAAGATGATGAAGGTGTCCTCGTTGGATCATGGGACAATATCTATGCCTATGGCGTCCCCCCATCAGCCTGGACTGGAAGCGTTGACATTCTACTGGAATACAGGAGCTCTGAGAATCCAGTCCGATATGGCCAATGCTGGGTTTTTGCTGGTGTTTTTAACACATGTAAGTATCCAGCTGAGTAATATTTTTTAATGCAAAGGAAATTTTACTTCAAGACATTTTATCTATAACCTGGCAAAGGGACTGAGCAGTCCCTGTTGGCGCTATAGAATTTATGGGCGACTATTCTGGGATGTAGTCAATGCATAATTAAATCGTACTGGGCTAAATATGCTCATAGCTCTCTGACTGCAGAATCTTTATGGAAAGAATGATGGACTGTATCCTGCATAATCCATCATAACACCCAAGGCCGTGGAGGGTCACAGGGGCCAAGTGAGGCTGTAGGGGGAAAGAGGAGCCATTTTCTTCCCAGAAACCATACCTTTAAAAGGTTAAAAAATAAAAAAATTATGATATACATGCACTATGTATATTACTTATTTGTTATTGAGAAGTTGTGTAAATCTGTTTATTTGCTTGCTTGCATATCATTGAGAAGTTTTGAAAGTATATCCATTTAATTTTAATCCCAATTATGAAAAGGATTGTGGCAGGTGGTCTCATCTTCATCTTTACACAGTAAGTCTCAGGGCCCCTGAGCAATTAGAGATCAGAAAGTAATGAACAATCTTTACCTTCTCGGTTGCCTCTCCAGTGTTTAATCCACCCAACATCCAATCTGTAGAGCCAAATAGATAGAAACAGAATTATCCTCTTTAGTCTTGTGAATCATTTTTCAAGATGGCATTTGCCTCCCTTGGCCCAGAAAATGTTACAGTTAATTCAGTGAATATTTTAAAAAATACATTTATTTCAGTATGTTTTCATCATTGGTAATGATTTTTATTCACATGCCACTTCTACAGCCTTGGAGAAACATTATGCTCAAGTCGGAATGTCCTTCTGCCTGCTCATTAATAAAGAATGCTTTACGTACTTTTCATTTTTAAATGAAATAAAAGAGAAGCTGGAGGCTAAGGCAAGGCCATTTTAAAAAATGATTGTTAAAATCCACCTATCTTAGTTCAAAGTTGTGACAGTCTGGTACCCGGTCAATGATCTAAGACTGTTAAGTTTTGTTTTGTCTGTTCGGTTTCCTGGTGGCATCAACTGAATAAAAATATTTTCTTAACCTTTTGATGATACCCAAGGGCTAAAGGAATATGTATTTCTTGGGAGCAATGATAGACAAAAGTCTCAGTCTCTTAGAAGTGTTAGTCTTTCAAATTTTAGATAGAAACTTGAACTTCATGATGGTCTAAAGATTGGAAGGAGACCCTCCCTCTCCTACAGATTGCAGGCCAAGATGATGAGAAGGTGTCCAACACAGGCAGCCACTCTTGTGAAATGATTCTTGAAAAAATAAAATGGACCCAAGCCTTCCCCATGCCTACTGTCACTATGCTAGTTTGATTTTGGGGAGCTTAGAGCCAGATAAAATAGTGAGCATTTCACCATTTCCACTCATGCTTTCTGTATAAAAAGGCTGTTCCATTTGTGCAGAAAACATGCCTTGGTGGCCTATGAAGAAGATGCAGAAAAATACAGTAGAAAAGTCTAGAAGGAGTAAACTTGAAGAGGGAAATTGCAGGTAGCAGGCTTTCTAGAACAAGCCTCGGCCTGTGATAATATGAATTAGCAGTCAGCAACTCACATTAGAATCCACCAGAAATAGAATGAGAGGAACGATCATTTCATTGGTAAGACCTTGGGTGCACAAGGACTGCCAATCAATTGAGGCAGGTGGGTGTCAAAAGCCAGGGGTGAGTGCCATTGACGTTGTTTGGGGTGTTAAGATGAAGTCTTTTAAGGAAAGGGACCCTTGAGTCTCTACCAGGCTCAGGTTTGGATTCCCAAGGTTGTTCTGTTGAAGGAGGCGCATAGCCTTTGTTTAAAAATGCTAAACTATTCTGAAGGAGGAAAAAAAAAACGACAAGTCATTAATCTTAAAATTGTCAGCTGAATTATTTTCAATGAGTCCTGATATCTGGTGTCCTGGGAACCAGGGAGGGCATTTGGATTAAGTTTAATCAATAGGTACATATGGCAAGAGCTGCATCCAGGCAATTTATTATCTAACAATTAAAATGAATCTGTGGTGTCACCCTCCAATGAGTGTCACTAGAGTGAACTCCAGCCAGGAAGAGCAACCCCACTGAAGAATTGTTTTGTAAATTCCCAACTTCCTACTGGCTGTTGTTTTCTTAAATTATTATATTATTTCCAGAAACAAGGAACCATTAACTAAGTAAATATGAACTATTAGAACATTGTTATTGGAATTGCATGCTAGAGGGCTTCATTTAATAACCAACTAAAATTCTAAAGCATCACACAGTGAGATGTCTCTCTCAGGTCCCCAGGAGGGTTGGACACATCACTTTTCTTCAGTGTGGAACATTTGAGAACATGTCCAAAGAAGTTGGTGTTTTTTTTGTTTGGTTTTTTTTTTTTTTTTTTGTATTGGTAAAGAAGAAAGTCTCACGTGAAGAAGGACCTCCTACTATGCATTCTTTAAATACTGGTGATATGTCTGGCTACGGCTCTTTCCTTGTAGTTTTGCGGTGTCTTGGAATTCCAGCAAGAGTCATCACCAACTATTTCTCAGCCCATGATAATGATGCCAATTTGCAGATGGACATCTTCCTGGAAGAAGACGGGAGCGTGAGTAACAAACTCACCAAGGATTCAGTGTGGTGAGTTCGATTTACAAGGACCTTGTCTGTTATCAAATTAGAGTGACGTTACACGCTTACCACAAGACAGACTCTAACGTTTCTTTCTCTTCTATTTTAAGAATTATTCAATACCCTAGGCAGAAATGTCTGATTGTCGATTTTTTTTTTTTAGCTTATAAATTAGAAAAGTGACTGAACAGGCAGTTTGGGTCGGTTCCTAGCAATAAAAAGAATCATGCATCATCATGGTGCCCAACTAAAAAGGCCACAGCTTTAGCTCCTACAGGTGCCTGAGCTGATTCCTCTCCACCTTAGAACACGAATATGGTGGATGATAATGAAGGGGTTGGAGTAGAGCATTCTCTTCTGGAGCGCCCCAAGAGTAATATAGCAAACATTTACTAAGCACTTACTACATACCAGTAATGGTGGGTGTATGATCTTTTCTAATTCTTTCTGTTGTTTTTAGATATGCATGACAGTAGAGTATATTTGGACATTTTGTACATATACATACATGGAGTATAACTTCTTCTAATCAGAATCCCATTCTCGTGGTTGTAGGTGGATTTTGTTACTATCCCTACTTACAGATGAGGAAAGTGAGGCCCAGAGCGGTGGCTCAAGGTCACACCCCTGACAAGCGGGGAATAAACTGCAAGTGCCTCCAACCTTCAACCACAACCTAATTTTTACCTCTGCAAGTAGGGTCGTTCTTTGATGATAAAGATGAGGTTCACCTTGATTGTATTCTCACCTTTCTTTCACTTAGAAATAGAAATGGCAGCAAAGTTAACCACAGGGCCCCTTTACTACCCTGAATGGCTGCCTTAACTACTGGTTCTCCCATCAGCAGTGAAAAATCCCAAAGAAATCGCACTTTTCCTTGGGACCCCCTCCATCCAAATCAGTACACTGGAAGGACGAGAAACATCCTAAAAATCCAGATTGCCAGGATATTTAGGAAAGTCTCTACGGCAGGAAATTGAGACACAACTTTAGCTGTTGCCAGGCATGGAGCTCCGTGGAATTTCCAGCCAAAAATGTGTCTCCTGCAGTTGTTCTTTATAAGCAATAAAGTTAAAACACTGTCAGTTGTTAAAAAAAAGGCATCCAAATGGGGATGGTAGGAAGCTAAAAGCTCATTTTAAGAGAAATTAAAAGTTAGAAGAGCCCGCGTTCCCCTGTGCTGCAGGAGTGGATCACAGTTCCAGGAGCTGTATTAACTCGCCAAGACCCGTAAACGCTCATTGGAGAATGTTGAAAGAAGGATATCGCTGAACTGGTAGCAAAGGCGCTACTAGGAATAAAAAAAAAATAGCTCAGTTCATTTGAAGGGAATGAGCTGAGCCGTGGTAAGCCGGAGAGTGCGGGCAAGACAAAGGCCCACCTCTGCAAATGGAAAAGCAATTTAAAGAACCTCTGAAGCCCGTGGAATTACGGTGCAGCAGCCCTGGGTGGATCTGGAACGACAAAAACAGACCAAAATAGCTGCTCCCAAAGCCCACTGTGACAGTTGAAAATGGCAAAATGAGAATTATTGGGCCCGCTCTGCTCTATATCTCTTACACACACACACACACACACACACACACACACACACTGCCTTTGCAGGCAACTTCAATTCCAAGCTATTTCTTTTTTGCTTCTTGATCCAAACACCTTCATTATAAGTCCCCAGGGGGCCCCCCACCAAATAATCCAGGTCGCCCCTGAACAGAACAGACACGAAATTTAAAACCAAGAGATCTTGTTCTTAGTCACCCTTTCCTCTTTCAATTGCCTCCTCCAAATTCTATTCTCTGTCCCTAGCATCCTTCCCTTTGCTCCTCCAGTGTTGCCCTCAAGTAGCCCAGCCCTTGGGTCTGTGCCCCCTGATCTGGGACTCTGGGCCGCCCTCGGCTGCACACACTGGGGTCCTCATCCTTACCCGCCTCGCTTGGCTCATAGTGAGGTTTTGCCCGATGATGACCCAGCGTCTTACCACCAATGGTTTATGCTAAGACAGCTCAGGACACACCCAGGGATTAGAGGGCTTACTCAATAGCCTGGCTCTGCCACTGAGCAGCTGTGTGACCTTGAGAAAAGAATAACCTCTTTGTCTCTTTCCTCCTCTAAAGTGAAGATGAGAAAATTCCCAATGTCACTCAGCACAGAAGGAGTATAACAGGTGCCTAATGAATGTTCGCTGTTATGATTGTCTCCGTTATTAGTGGCACAGCTGGGATTTCTTGAAGGCAATATGTTGCCATCACCCCAAGTACCTTGTAGTCCAAAGAAGAGGGGTGGCCCAGTGTCCTGAAATGACACTTTGGGGGTAGTTTTTTAAAGGAGCAGAGCCAGGCACAGTGGCACACACCTGAAATCCCAGTAGCTTGGGAGGCTGAGGCAGGAGGATCATGAGTTCAAAGTCAGCCTCAGCAACTTAGCAAGGCCCTGTCTCTAAATAAAATATAAAAAGGGGTAGGGGATGTGGCTAATTGATTAAGTACCCCTGGGTTCAACCCTGGTACCAAAAATACCAACAAACAGAAAAGCGTACCTTCCCATTACAAACACTGGTGCGTGTTAGGAGCTATAAGCATTCCAGGAAGCCAAGAGTATGACAATGGAGGAGGCTGGTAGAGGCTCTCCCTGGACACACCAACCAGTGCATGGTCATCACAGCCACACCCTCAGGTCAAGCTCTGGGTTGAACTGTTACCTGCTATGTGGCTTTGAGAAAATAATTTCACCTCTCTGAACTTCAATTTCCTTGTCAGTAGAAGGAGGGTAATATTAGCAATTTCCAATTCCTAATGGGTTGGCTATAACAATTATTTGAGGTTATCCTGATGAAATACATGGTATCTCTAATCCAAAAATTGGAAATGTTCCAAAATCCAAAACTTTTTGAGCACAACCTGATACTTGAGTGGAAAAGCCCACATTTGGCTTTATGAAAGGGGATCACAGTCAAAGCACAGGTGTAATAAAAACATGTCATAAAATTACCTTCATATTATATGTCTTAAGCGGTGCGTGAAACATAAATTAATTCTGTGTTTAGACACGGGTCCCAGCCCCAAGGTATCTCACTATGTGTATGCAGATACTTCAGCATCTGATAGCATCCCAAAGCACTTCTGGTACCAACCACTTCAGACACAGTCAACTCAACCTGTAGCTGCCACAGTGGTAGATTAGTGTCAGCAACTGGTGAGGAGGGGTTTCCTGAGCCACAGGGCTGGCAAACAACAGAGAGACAAAGCTTTGGGTCCAAGCTGCAGGAAGGGGTGATTTGCTGGGCGTCAGCTGACCACCTGGAGATCAGCGTAGTGTAGACTGGCAACATGCAGCTCCGTGAATTTCCTAGCAAGGGTGGAGGGGCAATTGGCCTCACCCAAGGTGCCTGGACTTCCGAATCCTTCAACAGGCTACACTGCAACAACCCTCCCCCAGCTCTCTTGGCCTCCCTCCTAGTTTGTGTGTGGCCCCTGCTCTCAGTGCCTGCCCCTCTCCTCTCTGTGTAAAAGAAACCATGGGAATGATCTCTCTGTCCCTCTCTCTCTGTCCCCCTTATGCTTCAAGAGCTCTTCAGCAGTTGCGCCCCCCCATGGTCCACAGTTTGTGATGAATTAATTTGTCCACTTGGATCTCGGTGACCAAGTCGTCCTCTTCTCAGAACTCAGGCAAGTCTTAGGGTGCCCAAAACAGAAATAAGCCAGCAGGAAGATTGAGAGAGAGAGAGAGAGAGAGAGAGCGAGCTCGGGAATGTGAGAGGGCGGGTTATCTCTCTACACTCCAAAGTCAAGTGACAAAGTTTGGATTCCATCCCCAGCTCTGACTTTTGCCTTATGATCGTAGGCTGTCTGTAGAGGACAGACAGCTGATTGTCCTACTTCCTGGCTTTCCGCCTCAGGTCCCTGTGGGTGGGTATGCCCTCATCCCACAGGGACTACAATTCTGCAAGAGTGGAGATTCTGTCACTGACAATAGAGGGAACAGCTCCGTTGCTGTTCAGGGCAGGCTGGGGGGCTGAAGAACCTTGCAAGGGCACAACTGGACAGTGTAACTGGCCCCCAGGGTGGCCCATGAATTTTCAAGTGGGCAAACACCCGGGAACACATCCTGGAAGGAGCCATCTAAGCTGCCTGTCCCCACGCGCTGATGGGTTCTGAATTATGTGTGACCTCTGGGGGAGGCTTCTATGAATCACTGCGGACAGTTTAATGAAGATGCTCGCCTAATGCTTCTCTGCAGTCCAAACAGTGAACAGGGATAAGGGAGAGTCAGGGCTCATGCAGATGGACATGAGGATAGTGACATTGTCACTTCACCTTGGAAGAGCTCAGTTTGATCAGCTCATCCTAGGAAGGTCACAGTGGAAATGGAAACAGTTTTAAAAAACAGAATGGTGGCATTTATTAGGGTCACGGAAGGTGTTGCAGTGCAAAGCTATGTTCCTTCTCAGCAAGTGCATTGCCCTGTGGCCTTTGGCTGAGGTGAGCGTGGCCTGATTTGATGATTCAGGGTGGAAAATTGTGCCCTCGTCTTGGCTTCTCCCCACTGGAATGCAACCCACATCAGGGGAGCATTAACTGAACTGTCTTAGGTTGGTTGGTTTTGCCAGCATGTAACAGTGCATAGGGCATAGAGCACACCCTGAATGAATGGTATTGGTCAGGAGGTTTTGTAATGCCCACTAAACTGAATGGATATCATTTCATCACCCAATCCAAGCCCCGGATGCAAAGAATTCAGAGAGAAGTTAATCAGGGTCATTGCCCTGGGGAGACAACCACATAGAGAACACTCTATTAAATATATAAAACAGGGTTATTATGTGAACTGGCAATCAGGGAGACCCGGGGAAAGATTTCCATCCTAAGGCCTGGAGAAATGAGGCTATTCCCATGGGAAAAGGACATGGAGTCAAAACCATTATCTTCTGGCTGTGCTTTTCAAAGACGGAACATGCAGGAAGCGCCCTTGGCCCACAGATGAAACCCGGGGTGCATCAGGAAAACTCTGTGGGT